CTGCTGTGAATTGATCTTATGCAGCAACTTTTGGACTAAATCGACTACAGGGAGGGCGGTCGGGGGGGTTGGGGGGTTGGGGGGTCAGGGGGTCGGGAGGTTGAGGTGTATTGCATTATACTAACCACATCATGTCATGTCATCAGCACTTTGAATAATTTGTCATTTGAAGCAGCACCTCCTATTTGCTTTCTTGTGTAATTTATTTAATTCTACTTTGAGACGTATAGTGTCAGATTTTTGTGAACATTTTTATAATTATATCGTTATTGGCGCTCTATAATTAGTAAGTTTCAGCACATGTAGACCTTTTCCTTGGCAGAAATGATATCACTGATGGCTCAAGGTTCTTTAATTGGCCCACCTAAATGGAACAAAGCCATCACTGACAGACACTAAGTAGTTCAGGGAGTGGGTAAATATAGCAGGTGTATGGACAAAAATTTAATATTTTGGATATTATGATCTTTTATTTTATTAATCAAATTCAAGCTGAAGGGGTTATGGTTCTTTGAGCTATAGGAAAAAGGTTGAAAACATTCATATAAATGTTGTTTACAGCCTTTGGAATGTAAAAGTGGGGAGTCTGAGCTTAGACGGCTTATTAACAATAAGTACTGCTGCCTGTTAATTACTAAAGTAACAAAAGAGCACAGGGGGTAATCCTGGGCTGTTTAATACTTAACACACACTTACAAACAAGAACATTTGTGCCGACATACCAAACACACACACACACACACACACACACACACACACACACCCACACACACACACACACACATTAAAGCTTAGTTTAATCTGGAGCTGGAAGACCCCTCTTCCTGGTAGTGATGATGTTGAGTGAATGTTCCTGTACTGGGTTAGGTTTGTTTGACTGAATCATATAACAAGCAACCCCATCTGTTCCATCTTTGGATCATTAACAAACCTTTTGCATCATACATAGAATGTATATGATTAAGTACATACCCTAAAGGTAAATAAAACTGTGTACCCAAAGATTTTTTTTTTTTTAAGGAGGTGGAGGCTGTAACCATTTGGGCTGATTTCCAGATTTTTTGTATATCGTTGCCCCATATTTATGTCATGAGTTTAGCAAATAAGTACAATTTTAAATAAAGATTGAAATTGATGAATAACTTCTCTCTCTCTCTCTCTCTCTCTCTCTCTCTCTCTCTCTCTTGAGACATCATTGTGTTTTTCGGTAATCTAATTATAGTCAATATTCTGAAATTGGATGATGAGCACAAAGGCTTTCATCATCTTTGCGTCATGATGTTGAGACAATATTGAAAACTTCAGACTGGACTTGACTGAGGGCCACTCCTAGCTGCAGTGTTAATCAAAATAATGCATCCCACTAACCTTTGAGTTACTTTTATATCTTGACGATGTTGCTAAGAAGGTTTACAACTCACCTTATTAAAATAACATCTTTTAAAATAGCACGTTCATCCATGTGTGTTTGCATTATATCCTGCAATTGCTCTGCCAAACAAACACACTCATGCTTTTAACAACACATCAATATTTGCATCCAGAGGCACTTTCCTAGCACAGCACGTGGAGCTGGCAAGCACATTCAGCAGATAAATGCAGCCACAGTGCAAGGGATAAACACATTCACATGCTGGCACACTCAGACAAGCCATATTATTAGAAAACACAGAGAGATAGAGGGACAGGCAGAGAGAGAAAATGTCCTCTAACTGTTCCACTTAGTGCCTGAGTTTCACTCAGGGGGCTGAAACGGGAACCCTATTTAGACAGATGGGGGTGGAAAGAAGAGAGAGGGAGAAGTATGTGTGAAGATAATAGGGTGTGTACTTCTATTCCTTGTGTGCATGTGTCTGACTTCTTGCTCAAAGTAAGTAGAGGGAGAAATTAATGATGTGGTTCATGCTGCTTTTAACAAAGACTAAATTGACTAAAAACATGCAGAAAGAAAAACAAAATGCTTTCATATAAGGGGGTAACAACTCCATTTTGTCACAGTTTAGACCAATATTTGTGAAATTAATCTTAAAGTGTGCCATTTTAAAGATTTTTCTGAGAAGCGAACAGGTATAATCCACTTAACCCCATTGTTTTCAGCACCGTTAAACAGATTTGGGGCGCTGTAGAGACTTACAGATTTATGATAATGGACTTCATAACCAGAATTTACAGACATTACATACCATGTTTATTTCCACTCCTAGAACTCAGCAAAATCCTTTGTTTTCCATGTAATAACTGAGCCTACTCATGAGTGTCCCCTCATAGCCAGCCATCTGCTGCTCAGTGTCAGATTCAAGTCCACCCGGCAGCCAGCTGACCTGTAGCACTGCTGCAGGGCATTGCCTGGAGTATCTGATGTACCTGAAAACCTGCACACTGGGTGACAGACTAGCTGGCAAGCAGACAGATTGTCTCTCCTATTAGGGGAAAGCATAAGGAAAATTTGCCCCAGTGCTTCACTCTGGGGAAGCCCTCAGATGTGTTTGTGTGGGTGTGAGCATGTCTGTGGGTGTGTGAGTGTGTGTGTGTGTGTGTGTGTGTGAGTGTGTGTGTGTGTGTGTGTGTGTGTGTGTGTGTGTGTTGCCTTGGGCAGATGAATGCAGACATTGTTTGATAGCAGTGGGCTGGAAGAGGAGAGCCTGTGCCAACAGCAACTGGGGGAGGAGGAGGAGGAGAAGAGAGAGAGAGAGAAAAGGAACAGGGGTGGGAGGAAGGAGGGGAGAGGAGATTTGTAACTGGGTCGGGGTAATCAGGAAGATTCATGGGGGGGTTGGGTTGGATAGAAAAGGCTGGAAAAAGAGCACCCAAGGTGGATCGCACTCAGCATGAAAATGGGGAACTCTGGGTGAATCCACTGCAGGGGAGGATGACATAGGATATTCTGGGAGAGATGCCTCAAAAGCATTGGCTTAGTAAGAGACACAATGAGAATCTGTTTAAAAGCTCTCCTTTTTATCATGCCAACATGCAATGCTCCACCAATATGGCTAATCTGCTGATTTGCACATGTTTCATCAGTGCATTGTGACACTTCAGTTATTTCAAACATATATTTAGACATATATTAAAGGTCCCATATTATGCTTTTTCTGGTTTTATATGCTTTTTAGTGTGTTTTCCAAGCGTCCTGTGCATGTTTAGGCACATCTATTTGCAAAAATTCAAAGTCCGCGGAAATGCGGCTTCTCCTACGTCCTCCTGTTAGCTGGAGCATTAGCCGCATGTAACGCTCGGTTCTAGCCCCCCTCGATAAAAATTTGTCAGTGTGACGTCTTGTCAGTGTGAGATCACTGATCTAAGCCCATTGGCTCGTTGTAGCAAGCCCAGCAGCTCATGTTGCACGCCTGTTAACTTCTGTAGCACGCCCACGATATGCCGTAGCCTGCGGTAGCACAGTAGTGCTAAGGTGCTAATGTTTATGCTACCCTCGGACGGAGCCAGTGGCTGCATTCCCAATATGGTAAAAGAGGCGGGACATTTCCGAGACGCGTGCTGAGCAACTGACCAATAACGACAGAGCGGATCGGCAGACCAATCAGAGCAGACTTGGCCCACGTGGGGTCTAACAGTGTGGGCTCAGCAGAGCGTAGCTGACAGACTCAGAGCGTAGAAGGAGCAAGGAGGAGCAGTTCATGAAAACAGACACTTTTTTCGGACTTTAGCTATTGTGAACGTACAAAAGTAGGAACATAGATTAAATATACGAACCCCAAAAAGGGCATAATATGGGCTCTTTAATATATCTATAGCACAATCAATACAAGGCAACACATTAGGGCTATAAACAGCTTTCCCTCTAGTTAGTAAACACTTCATTGTTCTAAATACCCGTAGAAACTATCGCCAAGGTAATCACTAACAGCATAGTTAATCCTAAAGAAATGTAGTGTTGATTTCATGAGTGATTAAACACACACACACAAACACAAGCAAAACACACACACGCACACACGCGCACACACGCACACACGCACACACACACACACACACACACACACACACACACACACAGGCTGATAGGATGACAGTTAGAAGTGTTGTCATGGTCAGCAGACACCTGGTCCTGTGTGTCCATATGGAAGAGAGTTTGGACCATATGGCCTATATGTCTGAGCTGTGTGTGTGTGAGTGTGTGTGTGTGTGTGCGCACGCTAGTATGTGTATGTGTGTTTGTGTGTCACAGCACTGAAACCTTTCTTCTGAATCCATATCCAAGCTTAGGCCTTTGTTCATACTGTTTAACTGTTTATCAGCAGGTCTTGTACTTGACTCCTTTAATTCATCTGACACACTTCATTCATATACAAGTACACACCATGCAGACAGAGCTAAACAAAGTAATTCATTTTGATATATCTGTAATATCAAGCAACTATCTGCACAAAATGTTACGTTATTCCCTACCTCTACATCTACCAAGGAATTTTTTTTTATTAAATCAAAACTGATGCCACCATTCACTTGTTAGATTTCCCCCATCTTGTTTGAACAAAATCAAATTCCAAGTATGCCGCACGCTATACAGTATAATGAGCCATTACACTGTGTCTCATGACTCACTGCAAAAACTTACAAATAAACACTGAATTCAGGTCTCATCCGTCTTAATTCATCAGTGTGCATGCATCACTAGTTATTCAATAAAACATGAGACGTACAGTTATTGCACATACATTCAGGCAGGGATGCAATCAGTGTACAGTATGTAGGGCTTATAAATTGATGAATAGGAAAGAGCAAAAAGTGCGTTGGTGACAGGGAAGGTAGAGGAAGAGAGAAGGAAGAGGATGGGGGAGGGAGTGGAGGACAGACACTGGCGCCCCGCCAACGTTGACGAAAGCTGCTTATCCCTCCCAGTTGCCATGGATACAGAAAGGAGCAGCACACAGCATGTGTGTTAGAGAGAAAGAGAGAGAGAGAGAGAGAGAGAGAGAAATAGAGGGAGGGGAGTGAGGGAGGCAGAGAGAGAAAACCAGCAGGCAGACGTTTGAGCAAGTCAGAGTGGGAGTGAAAGAGCACCAGACACAAGGGTGGAGAGAGAGAGTGAGTGAGGGTGAGTGCATGTGTGGTCAGAAAGAGAAGGACAGAAGGGCAGTTAGAGCGCTCGGGGGAGACGATAGAGTGGGACGATAGAGTGCTAGATAATGGAGGTGCAGTCGGAGTGTGTGGAGCCGCCTGTGGCCCCTCAGTGTGACCCCCAGCCCACAGGGAAGATCAACAAAGCTGCCTTCAAACTGTTCGGAAAGCGTCGCACTGGCTCCAGTATGGCCAGCTTCTTCTCCTCCTTCAGAAACAAAGGGGCTACGAACAGCAATGGGAATTCTGACAATGGGAACTCTTTGAATGGAAATGGATCGGCAGCATCGGTGGAGCTTGTCAGGAGCAAAACCCACGATGGACTAACGAGTTCTAACGACACCGATGGACAGAGAGGGGAGGGCCTTCCCAGCCTGGAGGCAGGACCGGTGAGATCTCTCAGCAAATCATTGAGTTTCTTCTCCCTACTCCGGCGTGGAAGTTTCAGATCAAGTGAAAATGGAGGGGCGGGGCTTGTCAGAAGAGGGAGGGGCTTAAAGGGGTTTTTCAGCAGCATGCGATGGAGACGCAAGGAAAAAACAAACGAGGTAGAAGGGGAAGAGGTGGAGGGGAAGCAAAGTAAGGATGGGGATACTGCTGACTCTGAGAAGGTGAAGGATATTATGCTCACCCTTGAACCCCCTCCCCATCATCAACAAGAGGATTGTGGGAATGCAGAGGCAGAACATACTCTTGAGACTCCCACTACCAGTGTTACCATGACACCTCCACACTCTGTTGCCATGCCAGGGACATCTGGTGAGCCAGACTCCCCTTTTCCTTACACACCCACTGACTCACCCCTCCACCCTCCCATCCAAAAAGCCAAAGCATCAATCTCCAGCCTCACCCCCTCCCTTGCTACACCACCTTTGGATCGGTGCAGCACAGGTGACCCACCCTCAGAGCCTTCGGTGGAACGACTCTGCTCCCTCCTCTTCACTGATGTCACTTCGCTGAAAAGCTTTGATTCACTGACGGGCTGTGGGGACATTATTGCTGATGCAGAGGACGAGGGGCCAACAGGGAATGGGGGAAGTGGCACCAGCAGCAGCAGCAGTGGTGGTGGAGGAGGGGGGACTGTGGGTGCAAGTGTTGGGAGAGTTGTTGGTATCACGAGTGCATCGTCACGTTGTTCCCCTTCCAGAACCTCTTTATCTTCACAGCTGACCCAGCCCATGTTCTCTGTTTGCCCAAGCTCAGTGCCTTCCTCCCTCCCAGCCCGGGCCAGAGTACCGCCTCCACCCCAGCAGCACCCAGCTGGTAGCGGAGTGGTAGCCTACATGGGTGGAGGGGAAGAAATGGCAAGTCCAGAGGGGGTGGATGATGCAGACATGCAGGGGCTCTGGCACATGCTTCCCTCTACAGGTGATAACTCCCCAGCCCTGCCTCGGTCCCACCAACCTCCCTCTTCCACCCCGACTTCTACTTATCCCCCACGTGCCACCTCCAACCTTGCCAGCAGCCACCTGCCCTCCGCCTCCAGGAGTGCAGACCGGAAGCTACCCAAGGTGAAAGCACTTGGGCTCAGTAAGATTCCAGTAGTTGGTGGAGCAGGGAGCCGGGCAGCAAAACCAACAATCCCTCATGCGCATGTCCGTCATCCAACATCTCCTGGTGATAAAGAGCCTCTTAGTGATGAAGGATACTGGGACACACCCTCAGCAACACCCACAGCAACACCTGATGAGAGCCGGGTGCAGCATAACCAGAGCATGGCGTTATCTCGAGACAGTTGCTCTGGAGACCATCTGTATGACCTCTACAATGAGGATGAAGGGGAGGATGAAAGAGACGGAAGCCTAAACAGTACTCCCTCTCCATCCACCGAATACAAACTGAGTCCCACCAACCAAACCATTTCTCCGTCCTCCTCCTCTTCCTCTTTCAGGTCAATGAAAGGAAGCACCAGCCTTCCGCGGGAATCAAAGATCCCAGTGAGCTCCCGACAAACCCCTCCCCCCCACTCTGCAAGCCAGTCTGCCCTCTCTTCGGTTCTAGAGGCCGAATCCCCTCAGCCAGTGACCGAACCACCACCCCCTGCTCGCACCAGAATCCCTGTTTCCAAGGTGCCGGTGCGTCGATCAGGCGGAAAACCTGGCGACCAAAACAGAGGACCGGCAAACAAGAAGTAATTCCTGTCAAACAGGCTTTGCTTACCAATTTATGGACTTGAGTCTACATCCCTTCAGTGATGTTTATGCAGAGCCAAAAGTTTTCCCAGACCAAGAAAAATGTGGAGCTGTAGAGTTAATAGCCTATAAATTCCTCTCCAATCTTTAAAGCTCTCATTCCTTAGTGTTTTGGCTTGTGACAGGGTGGAATAGAATAAGTGGTTTTGTTCACTTGAGAAAGTCACGAGGAGACTCCAAAAAGCTGGGTTATAACTTCACAGCTTTCACTGGAACTTTGGAAGTTGACTCTTGACAATCCATGGACAAATTTTGCCTTGTAACTTTCCTGGAATAAAACTCTCAACCTGCTGAGAGTTTGACAGTTCACAACTGCACACTGCAAGAAAAACAGAAGCAGAGCACCTTTTTGTCTCTTACATTTTTTCTTATGGAATACCATATGGCATAACACAATTTTCTCCAAAGGACCTAATCTAATCAAAGATTTGTTTTCCCTGAGTTTTTCATCTTGTCTAATCTGTAACAAATTACCTCCTAATCCTTTTATTTTAGAGCCAAAGTATAAAGAAAAAACCCTAGTTATCATTTCGCAGCATCTCAACAGTATCTGCAGCCTGGAATAACCGACCTGTTTTTGTTTGGCTGTATGTATTTTTTGCTTTTTGAAGATGGTCTTCTTCTGACCGCACACTTTATTAAGCTGTATGTGCAAATGTACAAAAGAACTCTTAAATGATTATGAAACAGTTTTATTTCTTACCTACTTTGCAACTAAAAAGGTGGAAGAAATGGACCCAGTTTTCTTTTCTTAAGATGGATGTTTTTTCTCTGTTCTGGCCGATCACTTTTTTTATGAATGGACTTCAAGTTTGGCTTCAGCCTGTTGCATATGGATCTCTAGAATATCCACAGCATCACACAAAGTACATCCGTGGGATGTCAATCTCTGGGATTTACAACTCTTCAGTAACCAATGGAAACCTACCAAACTATCGCAATACCCAGCCAGGAGGGATCCCTTGCACTGATGCTTCAATACAAACGAAAAACACGAACAACGCTCGCATACAAAATGCAACACAATCACAACACACAAATCACAATACTGTGCATGCAGTGCCACATGGGCACAAAGGTCAGGGAACATCAAGTAATGCTGAATGATTTAGTTACACACACTGTTCAACCTTTGGCACTGTCTTTGTAGCTACACTGGATGTTTTTCTTCTCCAATGACACATGCACAAAAACCTTCTTTTTTTCTACAGGTTCCTTTCTTCTTCATGGATTTCATTCTGTTTTTATGGGGTTCTTTTTCCTTAAACTGTGATCACACACCAGCTTCTTAATACTCTGCTTTCTTTTATTTTTTTTACTAACATGCTGTATAGGATGGATTACAAGGTGGATGTCAGCCAGTTTTAGAGAACCAGAATATGCCTGCAAGTGTTTTTTAAATAGGCTGTGACCCAAAAAAAAGACAAGGAAATTCAGTCAGGGTTTGAGATAAGTAAAAGACTTTTGAGTCACACAATTAACTATTATTTTGGCTCTTGTACTGATAAACACTTAATTCTAGGAATCACCACAGTTGTGTATGAATATGAATGTAGCCTGACATTATGAAGATCATTGGTCGGCATATATTTGCCTGTGATGGTCTGTTGTCCTTCTTTGTCCCTCTTTTGTGGGGGAGTTTGTTTTCTAGGACCCATGTGCTCTGAAAAAAACTGAAGACAAACTACTGCACAGTGATGCAGACTTGCAAAGCACCACTTGTTGTAAGAATGAGTGGGTGTATAGTCTTAAAAGGCCTTTGTCAGTAAATCAGTGAGACAAGTTACAGGGAGCAGAATGTTCCCTACCCTTCAGTTAAAGAGAGTGGTTTTCAAAGAGCATGACATTCGAGATGATGCAAGTTTTCTCTAAGGCTAACCACAGGAGCATTGACACATGAGGGTCATGTTAGTTCATGATAGCCTCCCATTTCATTTAGAATATGATGATTGATTCACAACACTGCTCGGGGTACAGATATCTATTTAGCCTCCTGATGGTATAGGGTTGGACAGGATATGGGGTAACCTGAAGCCAGGTCTGTTATTAGTGTCCGTCATGGCACACACTAAGGGCATGCTAAAGGTTATTTGGGGAGAAGAGGTTGATGTTTTCTCTGCCTACACTGTTGTTATCATTTATAATGATTCATTTCATTAACCTCTAGTAGAAATGATAATGAAAGGGATGGTTGCATAATGTAACTTGTAATTGAAATTAGCAACAATCTGAACCTTTAATGTATTTCTGGGAATATGTTTAATGTTTTTTTTTAAAGCAGTGGTAATGCTTGTGGATTGTAGACCAAACAGTTGCCTAAAGAGTCCAAACTTTACTCTGTAGGAGACAACGCACTGGTAAAGGAGAGGTAATTCTGCATTTCATGTTTATCAGATTGTGTTTAAGTATTGAAACTTCCTTGGTTGATAGTCCATATGCCACAATTTTGTGTGTCTAAATAGAGCTAGAGTCCACTTTTTTTCAAAATAAGAGATAGAAGAGTTAAAATGAGAGTTGAACCTTTGGGTACAAGGCATACTGTATACAGAATAGTGACATCAGCCACAGAGGTCACGACACTGCCCCCTGGCTCAGTTCCTTTTGTTTCTTTTCCAGACCGACTCTTTCTATTGTTTGGGTCTTTATTAAATCATCTGCTGCAATGGAAAGCACATCATATTTTCCTTTTTTTTTTTTTTTTACCGTCTGTTCACAGTGTGAAGTCTTTCCACTTTTCATATTTAATGAATAAAACTGTGTTTGCGCTGACAGATGAGCTTCTGACTTTTTTAACCACATTTACTCAGCATCCATACACTTCAAGATCAGACACTGGGTGTACTTGTATAATAAGAGCAACAAAAGATAGATTTCTCTCCTCGACTCCCCTCCTCCATCTTTTCAACCCCACCTCCCAGTGGCTTAAATCTCCATGGAGTTGGCTGGGTGGGAGTGGGAGAGATGGGGAGAAACAGGAGTGCTTTAGTTGACATGCAGTGTGTGGCACTGTGGTTGTGGCTTTGCACTCTGAGAGAGGCCTGGCTTGGAAGTAATAGGTTATCAATATATTTTATTGACTGCTGATTGACGAAAGCCTGATGAATGTGTTATTGTCTGCTGTTAGAGCCTAGTGGGAAACAACATGTGGAGACTTGAGAACCAATATGATGACAAAGGCAGGCATCTGATGCATAGCTGATGCACGTGGAAATGGAGCATGTGTGTGTGTGTGTGTGTGTGTGTCCTGAATTTAGATGAAAGGGAGGTTCCCATTATTTTGAGGAAAACACATGTTGCCACAAAAAAAGCCTATATTTTTGTTGTGGTGTGCATGAGCATGCAAGTGTTGTAGTAGGAGGATTTGGTGCAGTGCGAATCCCCTTTGTAATGGTGCAGCAAACCCCCCACCCTCCCTACACAGCTCTCTTTCTGCATGCTGAGGTTTATGTAAAAGCATTACGTAAGACAATAACACACACTCCTACCAGCCCACCAGATCAAAGCTAAGGGATGCTGACCGGGAGAGCGTTGCCGTTCTGGTGCACAGGAGCACATGTGGTGGCTGATCTCATCATTAATCTGCTGCTGCTGTGTTCTGGATGTGGACACTCATCCTCATTGTGAGCCGTACGTGTGTGCCCGTTTGTTTGCTGCATAATATAGTAGAAGTGCATGACAGAGGGTTTAGTATGTGACGGACCGCAAAGGTATCTGACGAGAATTCTGGGAGAGTGTGGAAGAAACTAAATGTGAAGAAGATGTACAGTGTTTTTGTCCCAGCTTGGCTGAATTCACTGCTTTTAAATCAAGCTAGCTTATAGGCCTAACTATTGATAAACTGCCACAATAGCAATAATTGTGTAATGGTTTGCTAATGTATTAGAGCAACACAAGCATAAAGAGATATTATGTTCAGCAAACAATCTCGGCAATGTCATTTAAAGCAGTATCTGTTGAATAGAATGGTTGTTTAATTCAGCTAACATTAGCCACCAGCCACTATATCACTATATTGCTAATAGCTGAAGCTTCTTTGTAAGACAAAGGGTGTGCTGTCTTTGAAAAGCAAAATTGTCTTACTTGAAACAGGATGGTATGAGACCGTATAGCCTACAGTTTAAGTTTTGGCATTGTTTTTCTCTGTGATGCTACTAGCTAGTTTTCACTTCTGTCTTTTACCAGTTGTTCTAACAAGCTATAACTTGCTACTGACATTTATTTGTCAATATTCTAAGCTAAATTGGTATCTACTGTAATTATAGAACCACAAAGAGCACATTTAAGCTTATTAGAGAAAGTCATTAGCTAACAACAAACAAGTTGCACACAGAAAAATGACTCCTAGGCCTTTAAGTGTGATGGAACTGTAGCTCTATTAGCATCTTTTAGCTGTTTTCTTAAGTGCTAAAACATAATACTTAAGATTTCAGAGATGTTTTTTGTCCTTATTGCAAATTAAAAATATTTGCCTCTAACATGTAATATAAACCCCAAGAAGGCTATAAATTTAAGCTTTTAGAAACACTGCTGAAAAATAGTGACATTTCCAAAATCTTTCAATATGCAAGATAGGGTTACCTTGCCATGATGAACGTGCGTGCATGTGTGTGTGCGTGTGTGTTTGTGTTTGTGATGAAGCCCTCAGCACGATTCAAAAGCTGTACCCCACATTTTGCATGGCAGCTTCTCCATAGTGGTTCCCATAGTAACTCCACTAGGTCAACCAATGAAAAGAGGGGGCTGGGCTGGGCAAGAAGGAGGATGAGAGAGTATGGGGGGGGGTTCCTGAGACACAGTGTGTGAGGTGACGTTATTTTGGTTGATCTGTTGAAAGATGTATAGTAATAAAACACACGCACATTAAAAAGAGAAATGCAGTGCTAGTGATCGTAGTCTCCATCAGCACTCTGACATTTAGCAGACTTACTCTAAACACATCGATTCCACTTGTAAAGGTGCCACTCGGTAGCACTGCTTTACACCTCTCCAACCTCATGGGAAGCTCTTCCACAACCATTTTACCTCTCCGTGCACTCCCCCCCTCTGTTGATGTTTACGTTAAGTCCACTATCTTTCCTCACTTCCCTCTCTTTCAGTCGCATGATGCTGCAGTTCCTTTCAGGGCACTACGTGTTATCCACCTAACTGTCAATAATTCATCAGCAGACAAGCTTCTCTTTATGACACCATGACAACAAGAGCATGCAGTGCAATGTGATGCCATGTGAAGATTTAACCCTGCTGAAAGTCAAACAGGAAAATCCATTTTGTAAGAGTTCAACAGGAGGATACACAAGCATGCATTCTTTTACAGTGACATGTTCAGACTTTGAAAAACTCCAATAAAAAAAAAAGATTAATTTTTTCAAAACTGAATGGGAGCTTGTTAGCAAAATAGATTTGGAGTCATGAGATGAGGAATGAAAGAAAACTTCCTCAAAGGCAAATGTCTAGAAGAATGAGTCAATGGCTTGGAGCACTGTACAACGGCTTGATTTAAGCACAATATCACTTGTTAAAATTTGAGATGCACATTCCTGATTCCAAAATGCCACAGTTAAACTCTTAAACCGTATTACCATATAGAATCATGGGAGACTCCCACCTGAAAACTGTGTCATTTTGGCTGTCATTTTCAACGGAAACAACGCTGGAAATTTCATTAGAAGGGGGGCTGGCTTCAACGTACACTATACATAGCTGTGTATGCATGGGCAGAGGGCTATAGAATTCTCTTTCTAAAGCGTCTTCTGGATGGTTGGCTTGTCAGGTCATATTACTCTGCCCACTGAAGACTGAAGCTGTACCTGTTACCAAAAAGTGACCTGCATGTGGCAAGAAATGAAACCAGTTTATAGCTGAGCTTATGTTTCATGATATAACTGATGGTGACATCAATGTTTGATCATAGATTATCTATGAGTTCTGAACAACATGAAGTCAGGGACACAGAAAATTAACAGAAAATTAATTTAATTTAGATCACAGCCAGAGCTATTTTACAAATTTCTCACTCATTCATAGTCAAATATTTTACAACAATTCTTCTCATGGCTTTAGGATGATTTCAATCAATGTTACAGTTTTAAACATATTTTGAACCTGTGCACACCTTCATAGGGCACCACAGGAATGAGACCTTAAACCTGGAAGTGAGTTAGCATTTGAGCGCCATGGGGTCTATCCTCTCAAACTCAATGGGGATTTTGAATGGGTTTATGTTTAGACGCCTGAAATAAGGTCTGTGGTTAGCACAAGCTTAAGAGATGTTCAGATTCTCCATCTAAATTGGGGTTTATTGAGTTAAAAAGTATGTAAATAAAGGGGAATAAAATAAAGAAAAGAAAAGAGAATAAGAGATAAATAAGTGAAAGAGAAAAAGTTGAAAGTAATGTTAGAATAAGTGCAACGAGTATCTAGAGAACAGTTAGCTAAAAAACTATGCATTTTGTTAGACGACATAAACTACGTTAGGTAACACCCCCACTTGTGAATTTTGTGAACGCATCCTTACAAAGGCGGTTGCTAATAAGTGGCTAATTGAGACTACAGTGGTTGTCGACACAAACGCCGGGAACTGTCTCACTAGACTGCCTTACAGCCTCTAGTCATGTTTTTCAGTGCTCTTGCAAACTCTTGTAGGTTCATCAAAATAAATATATATATATATATATATATATATATATATATATATTTATATTTCATGACTTAGATCCTCCGTCTTATTATGCCATGTGTAAACTGCTCATTACCCCAGGTAGTGGTAAATTGATACAATACAGGCATATTGCCTACATGTTTGTGTGCAACATGCCAAAATGAAATCATATGTCACAGTTGGCTCCTCTGCTCACCTGCCTTCACTCAGTTACTCAGTACTTTTCCACTCACCCTGCCAGCCACACCTGCCTAATCAGCCAACTCTACTCACCTGTGCACACAGCTGCCTCCCATGTGCTTCAGTATTTCAAAGTGACTGCACAATCTGACAGAATACAGGCCCTTCTATCTGTGATGTATACTGTTTCATTCAGTGTGGAAGTGGCTTCATAAGCCCTCCTCATGTTATTGACACTCCAACTCAGATGTGATATGCATGATGGCTCAGTAAATAACACAAAACTTCACATTTCATGTAAAAAAAACTAATGACCTAACATTTGAAAGGCGAGTTAATCGAACCGGCTACATCCATCCTCATTTTTATTTTTTTTATTCTTGTTTGTTTTGAATTGGAGGCACATGTGAAGTGAAGTTTTGCATTTAATTTTGCACAGCATCGTGAGTGTTAAAATACAATTTCCCTGAAAAGATGCATTCAGCCAACACTGCACAAAACCAGGAAGCTAGTATCCATCCTGAAATGTTCAGTCTTCTGAGGTGGACCCAAAAAATGCATACTGAATGGCCATAAGGGTTCAGTCTACTGAAACCTCCTTACTGAAAGGTACGCACTGCATACTGAACTGTGGCTTTTCGAAAAGGGCCACTGCCAGATCGTTCTATTGCTTCATGCAAGACTTTCCAGCATTCATCCATGGATCGGTCTCCCTGCCTCTGACCTGTCTTCCCTCTGTCCACTGTAGGATTGTTTGTTATTACAGACTGCCTTCCTGCTGCCAAACCTACTGCTACCTGACCAAGTCCTCAGTTTGCTTCCCCAACGGTAAGGCTGCCAATATCATGCAGCCTTATAGAAGAAAAACTTCAGGGCACTCTTTTTAAAAAAATGAAGAAGCCTTTATTGTCATAGCATGGTGAAGTTAACCTTCAAAATACACTTTGATGTATTTTGGCATCAAACCTTAATCAGGAAGTCAAACAAACAGATGCTTTGACGACAGTGTGTATGTGCCCAAGTGGATTTTCCTCTCGGGCATAGAATTGAGGCTTGTGGAGTGTGCCAACACACAAAACCTCCTTAGCATAAGGTGAATGAGGTGCTCTCTCAATCTGAAGGGCACCTTATACACCAACAATTTATTTAAAACAAAAACACACCACACCAGAATGGAAACTTAGAAGGAGGACATACTGGCTGCTGCATTGTTGCCAGAAAATCTGACACTTCAACACATCATGTTTCTTTAATGTCTGATCATATAGTAAGGTCATTTTATGATTTAATTCAGTAGATATCTTACATATTGGACCTTTAAAAGTACTATTTTAAGGTCAAAAGTTACACATTGTTTTAAAGGTAGTTGTATTTGCATAAACCATATCATGAGTTAAAGCATTATTTGATTTGTATTTCACACCTTACTTTGAAAATGAAACAGGCATTCGAGGATAATGCTGAAACAACAGAGACAGGGAGATGTCATTTCTGTTTTTCATATAGCCTACTAAAAGTTGACTTAATACAGTTGGGCATATGCACACAAAAATACACACCGATGATGACATATTTTTGTTTGGAGTCTGAAAATGAAACAGAAAATAAAAAGTCAACAGCAGTCACACATTCCTCATTCCTCCACAGTTCCAGTCCTCATTTATTATTGCGTAGCCTGAATATCCACAGTGACAAATGTGTACATTTTATCTTTCACCATCTCCTTGACTGTGTAATTGAGGGAATTGATACCGTCTTTTTCCATTTGCCATTGGGTGTTGTGCAATTTCTTTGATTTGGCTCATTGTGTAAGTCTCTCAGATGTTTAATCATCTTATACCTCCCTATTATCAAGTTAGGCCGAGAAATTTTCATTCCACGGAATAAAATCCGATTATATATATCATCATCTTCAGCACCCCAACCCCAGTAAGTATTGGGGAAGCCATTAATTCTCAAGAATTTCTCTTTTGACAATGAATGAACCCCACCAAAGAATGTAATATATGGTAATATGAAGTTAAACTTGTCCATGGCGACAGCCAAGTGTCTGGGAGAATCAAAACATCGGTAGAGATTACGGTCGTCCATAGGAACCAGATCGACGTCAGAGAAGACGAAGCAATCGTAATCATATTCCTTCAGCGCTTCAACATAGCCTGCATTCATCAGTTTTGCCCGGTTGAACACTCCTTCTCCGTCCTGGTTGATGACATACACACCATAGTCCACCTGCTGTCGCATCAGTATAGGATGGAGGTAATACAGCCAGTACTTCAGGTGGTCATGGAGATTTCGGAATGGGATGATGATTGCCACCTAAACAGACAATTTGCTTAATTATACATGAAGAAAGTCATGTACAGAACTGTGGGAAACTTGTTCCACTCCCTAATGGCTCTAAAAGAAAAAGCAGCACCTCCTTTTGGAATGCAACACTGCCCCCTAGAGGTTGACCTTGTGGCCCTGCTCATCTGTTCAAAGCAGAGTTGAACAGATCCCTTAATGGGCAGAGGGGCCAGTATTGTGAATTATCTTAAAAACCAACCGGACTGATAAATATATATAATACAATTATCATGCTTGATTAGTATTTGACAGTGGTGATATTGTTTTGACTTCTTATCAAAGATGTTAAGAGCTTGTTTTCTGGTGAAATACATTGTTACTGTTTTCAACAAGTTCAATGGGAGACAGGAATCAATGAACCACTTCACAGTGTTTTCCATGGCGATTGATAGTTTAGCAGCCACTTGTTCTGCATACTTGCCTTGAGTGTGTATGACCGTGTCACATCTGGATTTCCATATTTTCACATAAAGATAGGAGATCATTAATGTGTAAACTGAACAATAAAGGTCCTAGGATGGTATCTTGTGGTACCAACATGATGCAGGCACCTGATGGTGATAGAGAGTTATTTATATGCACACACTGGGAGCGACCTGATGAATATGATTGTATCCAGTTACGGGTTATTAATGGACGGACAGTTTTTTAAGTAGACAACTTCAAAGGCTTTATGTAGATCCAGGAATTCTGCAGATCCAGGAAATGTAGATCCAGGAAACTGGTTATCTATGAGTTCTGAACAACATGAAGTCAGGGACACAGAAAATTAACAGAAAATTAATTTAATGTAGATCACAGCCAGAGCTATTTTACAAATTTCTCACTCATTCATAGTCAAATATTTTACAACAATTCTTCTCATGGCTTTAGGATGATTTCAATCAATGTTACAGTTTTAAACATATTTTGAACCTGTGCACACCTTCATAGGGCACCACAGGAATGAGACCTTAAACCTGGAAGTGAGTTAGTATTTGAGCGCCATGGGGTCTATCCTCTCAAACTCAATGGCGATTGAGTTTGAATGGGTTTGTTTTTGGACGCCTGAAATAAGGTCTGTGGTTAGCACAAGCTTAAGAGATGTTCAGATTCTCCATCTAAATTGGGGTTTATTGAGTTAAAAAGTATGTAAATAAAGGGGAATAAAATAAAGAAAAGAAAAGAGAATAAGAGATAAATAAGTGAAAGAGAAAAAGTTGAAAGTAATGTTAGAATAAGTGCAACGAGTATCTAGAGAACAGTTAGCCAAAAAACTATGCAAGATTTTGAGGACAGGGTCCGTATCTTCTTAACAGTAAGACATGTGTAAATTAGACACTGAAGAGAAAGGTGGCTTTAAGAAGTAGTCAAATTGAGTAAAAATAAAAATAAAACAAAGAGGACAAATAACCCTGGCCAGGGTAATTGGAAAAATTAAAAGCACAAGTTAAGAAGTATAAAGATGAGAAATAAAGATGGTAAATAAAGATGAAATAAAGATGAAAGAGTTTTGAGAAAAGTGGAACAAATATGCGCTGAATAAAGGAAAATGTGTGCATTGAAGTGTGTGTGTGTGTGTGTGTGTGTGTGTGTGTGTGTGTGTGTGTGTGTGTGTGTGTGTGTGTGTGTGTGTGTGTGTGTGTGTGTGTGTCGCTGTACAACTTGTGTGTGTGTGCGAGTGATGAGGAATTTTTGAAGCCTTGGAGCAGGCTATGTGTGTGTGCGTTATTGGAGACTGTCTTGCGCTGTGAGTTAGATGTGTGTAAGAGGCTTGAGTAATGTTCGTGTCTGTGAAAATATGTGTGTGAGATCCGGAAATGTTCTTGTATGTGTGATTGATAAACAGAATAGATGTATTATTAAATAGGCATATATAGCAGGAGATTGGTTAAAGGGGATTTTAGTAACTCATAAGAAGGGACATTTTTGCTTCATCAGTGTTAAAAAACCTATGAGCCTTTGTCTCAGGGGACGTTTATATATTCGATTTGATAAAAATATGAGCCCCTCAGAGGATGTTTATTTAATCTGATAAATACATATGAGCCTAATAAAGGACGTTTATACATAAGTATATATAGTAAGACCAGCGAGGATAGTCTGTACACATTCAGGTAGCAGGATTAGGGAAAAGAACAGAAAAACTCCTGATAAAGTTTAAAACTGCCGGCTGATTGGTCTGTGAATTTTTCTTTCTGTCTGTTTGTGTGTATGTGTGTGACCACATTATGCTGCAAATTTTGTCTGTTCAAAAGAATGTATAGTCTTATTTAAAATAGGTGGAGAAGTTAGTTTTGACTATCAGAGGACACATTTTGTATTTGGCTGTTGATTGGGCGGATACTGTGCTGTTTTTTTTGTGTGTGCATAGACTCGGCATTAACCGCACTGGGTTTGGACCATAGGTTTGGACACAATGTGCACTCTCTGACAGCCAGGCTATACTGGAAGCCCTTACTAAATTTAGGAGGCGGTCCAAGAGGCGTTGCCTCAAATAGAGAGCCAATTAGATTACTCCTCTTGATGAGGAGTGGAGAGAGAGAGCCCCCTCCTCCTCCCTCTTCTGTCTGTGGGACACAGAGGGAAGGAAAAAAACCCTGTCAGGGAGAGGGCTTTTGTGACAGATAAAAAATGACAGATAATGTGTGCAGATTTCACTGAATTGTTATTGCATTGTGTATACGAATTCAGAGTGATCATAAGACACTAAACTTTTGTTTTGTTTCTTTTTTGTCTTCTCTGTTTGGTTTTACTATGCTGTGTGAGAGCAGAAGTAAAGACGGAAGAGATGGAATGTGTCTGAACTGGATCAGTCCAAAGGGCAGATGAGGAGATACCTGGCAGTACTTTACAAACACTGGGAGCCTTGCAGATAACAGCGCTAGGGATCCTGAATCCAGCTTGATCAAGGCCAGTGCAGTTCTATCCACATACTCTTTCAACAAACACCTGCATTTGTCTATATGTGTATACATTTATTTATAGTCAACATTTTTGATACATGTTTAGTTTGTTTTCACATATAGGCTTACAGTATTTCCTCTTATATATCACATTGCAATTATTTAGGGGGAAATCTTGGCAACAGACTGACTAATTGAAGCATTTGGTTAATTAATGGAGTATTGTTTTGATTGATCATTTGTGGTTGATTTGATTTAAATGCTGTTGAGTGCTGTGAATGCTGGTTTCTTTATCTGAGGATGGTCTAGCTTGATTTGGGTTGTTTTGAGATGGAACATTGACATTATTTCCATAATTTTAAGATAAATAGGTGTGATTAGATGCATCAGGTGATAAACAAGTGATTTTGCTTTCATAGTAAGAAGCCTTTGGTCTCCTTTGGGGTTGGCAAATTCATTCACTTTCAAGTGTGGTAACAGTACTTTCTAAATAGTTTTTAACTATTTCAGTTTGACTTACAATACAAGGAACTAAGAGGGTCATTGTAATGTCAAAGATGGACACCAAAATTACAAAAGCACTCATTCCTGTTGATGTAGTGCAGAAGACTAATCCTCTTGTTCAGAATATTCCAAAAATATCTGAAAAATGGAGCAAGCATTGGCCTGACATTGACCAGCCTTGGCCAGTAGAGAGGACTTTTAACGGATGTGATCAAAACAATACAGGTGCTTGTGTCTACATATAAGGTAAATCAGAAGAAAGGTAAAAAGGGAAAGAGATGTAAGGAGAAAAGACAAACCGAACTTGGCATTCTGCAGTTGTTTGAAAATGAGGGACAGAAATTGTTAGAAGCTGCAAGAGAATGCAAGAAATACAGAAAAATGATAAGGAAGCAGGAAAGTTAATGAAGAAGGTTAACACACCCTTCTCACATACTGCATCAGCAAAGAAGCCCCCGCCTTATGAGTAGGAAGTGAAGTTTACTGATGTTTATCCTCAGCTCTCAGTGATTAGACAGAAGGGCAACTATCACATCACAGGTGAGGATGAGCAAACAATAGAGAAGGGAAAGGCTACAACGACCATTAAGATGTACCCAAGCTCTGACAGTAAAAACAAAAAGACCCGTTTGATAAGTTGGAGCGGACAGCGGTTTAGATGACTGGAAATAGAGGATGAAAGTGAGAGTGATTCGGACGAAGCTGTTGGTGGCTATGACCCGGCAGTTAGACGGATGTTGGCTAAAGCGGAGAAAAAAGGAGACAAGCCAGTAAGAGGAATGGATCCAGGAAAGGACGACACAGATGTGAGTGATGGTGATGGAGACTCAGAAATAGAGGGTCCTTCATATCTTTACCCACTAGCAGCCGGTGCAGGGGTGGAAGATGATGGATGCAGGACTTTAAAAGAGATTGAGAGGACTATATATAGATGCCTTGTGAACATAAGTGAATCTACCAGTCCAGAAACCCAGCAATTATTGAAAAAGCGATTACAGGAACTGCAAATAACACAATAACACAAAATACAGAAGAAGAAGTCTTAAAAGTCTGACACTTTGGGGTATATATTGTGACGGTCACTGCCTTAGTCAAGATCTTACTAATTGATTCTGTCCCCCCTAGTTTTAGTAGAGGAGTTGGATGGTCCAATCGAGGGCACCTGGGTCTGTGCCTGGCAGGGCGTAAAAGCCCCCACCCCAGGGTTGATTCTCTCTCTCTCTGGCCTAAACTTTGACTTGTTCGTTTGTGCTATGGTTGTGGCTGGTTGTAAATAAATCATTGTTTCCTCAACTTGGGCTGTTCCGTTTCGTATTTGTCATGGCCATGGAGCCAGATTATGACAATATTACGTCCAAGAAAAGGAAAGAGACTCTATAAAATGTGTCCAGTAGTTGTGCGTGGGCAAAATTTAGAGTATAAGCCTTGGCAAAATACAGATATGTCAAACATACTTGAAAAGTTACCCACTCTTCAAGATGGAGCACATCCTTGGATTTCAAAGTTGGAAGAGGTTTTGGTGGGAACACAGCCTGCCATGGGAGACTCATTGGGGTTCCAGTGATGGAGGAAATCCTGCAGGCGGCAGGCCTTAATAGATATGTGGCGACTGCAGTATATGATCCAGAATTGTTGGCTGCAAGTAGGGGTCAGATGTGGAGAGCATTGAGAGATGCATTTCCAACATACGTACACCCTGATGATATTTTAATTGAATCATTGGGCCTGCAGGAAAACCCAAGAGCTTATGTGTCAAGGGCTCATCAAGTGTGGAGAAATGTCACAGGAAATTACCCGGATTTGAATCAAATGGAGCAATCAATTTTGCGAGCTAAGATACAGAAGGGGTTGCCCCTACCAGTGTGGAGCAAACTGGCAGAGGTGGTTGGTCTTGGAAGCATGGCAAAAGGTGTGTATACGGATCACATAGCACATCGCGTTGAGCTGTATCGGAAAAAGGAGCATGACCAGAAGGAACTACAGCTGGTGGACAATAAGAAAAAGGAGAAGAAACAAGCTGTGGTTATACAAAGTCAGCCTCAACCAACTCAATTACCACCACAACCGCAGCATGACCAGATCCAGTTTCAGCCACCCCAGCTGTTATCCGTGATAGATGCATTGAAACTTATAAGGAATTCATTTGGTCCATCAGAAGGAGCAGGATGGTCTGCTAATGCTTGGTTGCAATAACAATCAGGACCAGTAGGAGCTATAGTGGTTCAGATTCTGGTGGCTACTGAGTGGTAATGACCTGAGCAAAGATGAGGAGGTCATAGAGATGGGACAAGAGCTAATAGGAGAAATATCAATTTTGAATATCTGAATTCATCATTGACTCACTATTGTTTTGAACAGGAAGTGAATGGATAAAAGGGGGGAAATGGAATATGTTAATCATGTATATTAATCATGTATATGTTAATCATGTAGTGGAATAATGTGAAAGTATGATACAAAAATGAATATTTTTGATGTTTTTGTATGTGCAAAGATACTGGTTGTTGATTTTTCTTCCCAGGACAATATTTGGGAGACCAAT